ACTGCAAAAATGGCTCCTCTATTTACACCCACTATGATTAGTACTACTAATATTACATTCTCATATGCTATTCCAATAAAATACATGAACCAAGGGTTAAAAGATTTTGTGGAATTTCTAAACGCTCATTCTCTCAAAAATATCATTGTTGATTCCGCTACCTCATTCTTCCCATAACATGTCTATGATTTCTATTACACCTACACATATGATCAGCAACCAGGATCTATTTTAGGGTCCCTTGGAAACGGAAACAACCAAGTTCTTGTCACCGTTGAAGCAATAAGCGATGCTTTTCTTCTGCCAAATCTGGTTGAATATTTAAATCTTACCTCCAAACATTAGTGCAAGCAACTTGTGGCTAATTTAGGTTATGATCCCACAAAGCAAGGAAAATTCCATGGTCTAGTTTAAGGACTTTGTCTTCTTGTAGGGTGGAAATATCTTACTTGTCTTATTTGAATGTGCTTAGGGCATAAAACTAGTAGTCTGCATCAGCCAAATTGGTTAGAGATGAGGATTCTTTATATAATGTTGAAAAACAAGAATCTCGATTTTGCCTAAATGATTTTTGTTTAGCTTGTCAGCACCATCTCTAGGAAGAAAAGAAATACCTATGTTCTTTATCAATGATGGTTTTTTTTTGGTTCTCAAACACATCAGCTTAGGGTATAATAGAGATAGTGATGACACTATTACCCAATCCTTTATGTCTTCCAAATTAATTAATTCATCTCTCAAACCAATTGATATTCTAATCACTCATTGGATGGCAAAGTGGGTGTTAAATCCCTATCAAGTTGTTCATCTTCCCTATTCTCCACTAGGCATACCAGAAACCTTGTATCATTTCTAATAAGGATGCCTCTGAAGTGATTTCTGAATTTGAGTAAGAAGAGTCTGATGATGAAGAAGGGGAATAAAATAGTAATGATGAAGATGATGATATGGATGAAGTTGATGACAATGTTGAATTGTGATAGTGAATTCTCTTCAAGGCCTTCTTCATGATATCCATCTATTAAACTCAGGCAGTCTATGCTACGACACCCTGATCCATTGTATCATGTTGATTAGTCTACTCCTCTTCCTAACAAGCACATATATTTCAAGTCATCATCATTCTCATCGCAAGGTATCCCTCCAAAATCTGCATCATCTGATCATTGTTTTGCATTTTGTAAGTCTCCTTCCCTTACTCCACAACAAAGGGAATCTCAATTAGTATACAACATTTATACTCAAGCTCAACCTAAAGGGGATCCAACAAGAGAGCATAGTACTACTCGATAAGATACACAATTTCAGATCTTACTTGCACTTCGTAAGTAGATAGATTTCATCAATGGTTGCTCAACGTATGGAATAACTTGGGAAATATGTTCCAACTATTAAGTGGGATGTTATTTGATCCACTTGAACCACCCATCCTGCAAGTAATCCACCACCCACTACTAGAAAACAGGCCTTTAATTTCGCGCAAACAATGACACGCGCTGATACAGGACGCGCATTGGTGTGTGCCCTAAAAAATAATGTCAATTTTGCAAAATTTGAAGAATAGAGGATACGCATTTGTGCGTGCCCCAAAATTAATGTCTAACGAAAAAAATTAAAAACACGGAAGGCACATAAATTTAAGTGGGCGTCGTGTAGAGGTGTCGCTTTATAAAATTTTAATATGCGCGTCCCTCTTTAATTCAACTAAGGGGGGAGACCAAATCCCAAAAAAATTCAAGTACCCGCCTTCCCCAAAAAATAGAACCTCACAATATCTTTCATGGAGTCGGCGATTGGGAGTCTACGAATCCTCAAACTCGAAATGCCGGTGATTTTAAGGCTTTTCTTATTTCGATATCAAAGAAGAACTAGGGTTTTTACTTTTTATGATCTGGACCTAACCAGTTCGCACCCATGAACTAGGGATTTTATTAGCCAATAGCATTCATTTTCACTGTTTTTGGTTCATTAGCTAATCGCCAACCACTGCTCGCAGCACTTGGCCGTTGTCAGTTTTCCGATTCCACCGACGATTATGCCAAGAGAAACTACGCCAACAATGCTTCTGAATACAATACCGTCATTGGATCTCTCACTTCTCAAAGAAGGTATCTCTCTCGCCACTCTTTTTCCATTTCTTACTTAATCAACAGCAGCACATGCTTTTTCACTCCTCTTTTTCTCTCTCTACAAACAACCAAGAAGTAGTAGCAGCAGCACAAGAAAGATGGGTGAATGAAAATGCTAGGGTTTTCTGCTCGATTCCACTATTCACATTGATTTTCTCATCTAAATTTGAACTGTTTATGTTGGTTTTATCTGTTAGCTAGGGTTTTCTACTCTATTCCTCTGTTCACATTGATTTTCTCATGTTTGGTACATGATGGAAGGTTGAAGGAGCCATGGAACACTCGCACATCTACTATTCTTGTTATAATGGCATAGACCAGGTATATTCAATTTCTCAACTAGAATATGTGTGTTTGTGTGTGTGTGTATTGAAGTTAGTTACATGAATTTTGTTCATTTTCTGATGTTGTTCCTAATTTTTGAAGGCTTCTGGAGCTTATATTATCCGTATTAATGCCACATTTCCAATAAAATCTCAAGGGTAGGTCAACCATACTCTTTTGGGGAAGTTATCCACTACAGTTGTCTGTTGCAAGTGACTAACACTTTCTTTTGTTACAGAAAGCTTTCACTGTCGTAAGGGGCCATCTAATGGATGAAGTGCACCAACAGTTAATCTCCTGGATATATCAGGTCACCCGTGTATATAAGGAGAAGGAACATGCTAAAGTTAAGTTTATCGTAAGAATTTTGTTCCCTTTTGATTTAATGTAGTTGTAGTAGTTTCCTGTTGACACTTGATCAGAATATGTGTGTGTGTGTGTGTATTCTCTAATTACATATCTTATTTTTGGTACTATCAGATTGGACCTATCCCTATAGATGATGGCGTTGGGAAAAAAATAACAACTCAGATCACAAGTGCCTTGAAGACAAACAAAACATTCTATACGGATTCTAATAGGAAAAACTTCATTAAAACATTCTATACGGATTCAACTGATTATTATTGACCACACATTTTCATCCTGTTGCATTAATACAATCTAAAAAGATTGCCCAGGGAATCTCCCTCTTTCTAAGTCGAAAGCTTAAGAGCCAATACAAAGTATTACACTATCAATTTTCTAGACATCCCTTATTGTGACATTTCTCTCTATTTGTTATAATCCTAGCCAATCCATGTGAATTTCCTGTTTTACCCTTTATTTGGCCTTCTACACAAACCTTATATGACTTTTGCTTTAATAGTATTTGGGCCCAGCAATACTCAATTTGTATCATTACTCCCGCCTTCCAAAAAGTTTTAATTTATCCTCAAGACTTGTTTCAAGAAATTGTATCTGAATTGCCCATGCTTTCTCCGTTGTAGCTTCTTCAGTCAGTCGCCCTTTCCACCAAGTTAACCACCAATCAACTTGTTCCCAGAGCTCAATGATAGAACAGGAAACAAGACAAAAGATGGTAATCCTCCAATCTGAATCACCCTTAATTTCAGTGCTGATAGCAAAACTTGTTCAAAGAAAGATCTCATTTTCTTTTTAAGCAATTTATGCTTATCAGCTAAAAGATGTAGCAATTCCATTTCGTGTGATGCATAAATATTATGCCAAAAATTGTGTGCCTTGTCCCCTTATAGTGCCCTGATACTTATACACATGATTAGCTCTAGCAATACAAATCCAAAAGTGTATATGTCAACTTTTTATGCTATTAGTTCTCCAGTGAAGTGTTCTGGTGCTTGATTCTTATACACATGATTAGCTCTAGCAATACACATGATTAGCTCGAAGTTTTAATGGAGCCGTATGCTCCATGATTGTTGGAACTTATTTAAGGATAGCCATAGATTTTGCTAGTTGGTTTGATGAGTAGATTTTAGCCGGAAGCCAGAATTCTCCATAGTTGAGAGCAAAAGCTGCTAGAGTTAGCACCAGTTTTGCATCCCAATGGAAGTTTCTGACAGTGTGTCAAGCTTGTCAAGCTTCGATCAAGGGTTCTAGTTCCAATGTTAGCCATTGGAATCATCAAAAGAACCAGGAGTTTGTTGCTGCAAATAATATATATTTCATTGTTGATAAGCATAGGCATAATGGGAAAGAAAGTATGGATTCAAGCAAAAAATGGATTTGATAGCTTGTCAAAATAACTGGAAAGATGAATGCTATCCTTTATGTTTGTGTAGTGATTTATGTGCTTGCAGAAAAGTAAACAAATGCACAAGTGGATGTCTTAATATATCAAATATTTCCATGAATAATAAATTTTGATGGTTTTTATAGGCTTAATTAACTCCAAATGTATTTTATAAGTGAATTTGAGAATGCAGCTAGGCAGCACCATGAAAACCATTGTTGTTGCCAAATTTATGGGTGGTCGATACCTTAAACTTTTTCATGTTGATATTTCAGCAATTCTTATAATTAGGTGTGTATTTGAAAGAAAACAATTTTTGATGATTTGATGATAAGAGTTTTTTTTCTCTTCCTTTTGATGACAGTTTACAAAGAGGGATGAGTCGACTCTGCTAGACACATTACTGTTGATGACACACTAACAGCAACTCCTTGCTATATATTTAAAAAAATAATAATATAATGATAATTTTCATTATAATGTTAAAGTATGTTTTTAATGTGTTTGAAGTTGAAAAAAGGTTTTAGTGTAAAATTTACACAAAAATGTTCTAGGTTATAGTGTTATTGTTGGAGTTGGTCTAAATAAAGAAGCACCGCTTTTATATATATATTTTTTTTTTCTAAAATTTCAAAGAAAAGACAATACACAAATTGGTATTAATTCTCGATTTTTAATATCCATGAGTTTATTAATTGTTTTATGATGGTGTTTAGAAAGATATAATAAGTTTTGTAATTAGAAGTAGACAAAACTGTAAGATTAGTTTACGTGGTATTTAAAAAACCTTGCTACAAAAAGTTGTGTTTGATCCTGACATGTCCCCGCTCGAGTTGTCAGTAGACTAGAAGATGTTTGCAACTTCGTCATTTGAATTTGAAGGCTTAATGAAAGTCCAACCAATGGCTGGTATTGATGAAAAGTTATTACATATTTTGGCCTGGACTAAGCTAGACTTCCTTAATGAAAGGCGTGTGCGAACTGATGTTTGGTTTTCTGGACCAAAGGAATCTAAAATCCAGGTTTGCTCTTGTTAAGTATGTCTTTCTTCGGATATTATATATATATATATATATATATATATATATATATATATATATATATATATATAATATGGTGATCTAATGAAGGTGGTGGTCTTTGGCAGGTGTATTATGAATTTGGAATATTCAACACAATTTATGGAGGCGAAGAGATGCCGAATTGGATTACAAATAGAACCATGGGGCCATCAATATCATTTAGAATCCCATCATCTCCTAACACGTTTAGAGGATTGAATTTCTGTTGTGTGCTGACATCTCAATTTTTTCTGGAGGAGGGGCTTGGATTTGTAGATAATGTACCTCTTAATTTGCAAGTGATCATAATTAGTAATATTACAAAGAAACTCACTTGGATATACCACCATTACATTGACATAGTCTATCTATGTGGAATGTATTTGATGTTGTCAAGCCATTGGATGTTTGGGATGAATGAGATGGAATGTGGTCATCAGGTTACTATTACTGTTATCCTAGGGCAGAAACTGTATGATATTGGTAGTGCAGTTACAAAGGAGTGTGGAGTGAATTTTGTGTATGATGATGGAAAGGAAGAAGAAGAAGAAGAATATGTGTTGGGTTATTACAAATCATGGAACCACATCATTGGTGGAGATCTCACTGGATTTCAGTCAACCACCGAAGAATACATCCTAAACAAAATTCGAATTGTGCTGCCTTATGTTGATATGGATATACCAAAATATGACAGTTTGTGTGGAGAAGGCGCCTGTTTTAAAGGTAGATTTCTTTTTTATATATTACTTTATATCAAAAGCCAATAATAATTAAATGATAGTGCTTTAGTAATAAATAATTCATGATTTGATTTACTGCAATTGCTGTCAAGTCTTTAATCTATTTATTTTCTTTAGATGAGGTGCAGTTCAGAGCTTTCTCTTAAAGGAACTCCAATTGACTACAAGATGGCCCCTAAGGTACTTTTATCCCAAAAACTATTTTCTCATGAACGACACATATTTTTGGAGTTTTTTTGTCCTCTAGAGTTGGATCTTTTTAATTTATACATATTTATCTACTTTGCCAAAAACACACAACCAATTGCACAACAGGATTGATCACAGCCAATTGCTTATGTGGTGACAATACTGATGCTTTTAGGAAGTCAACTGATGGTCAATGGGTCCATGCCTTCTGTGCTGAGGTAATATTTTTTGATTGTGATTCTTACTTATGAGATGATATACTATTATTATTATTTACCATAACATTAATCACTGTCAACCTTCTTGTTTTTTTGTTTCTAGTTTTTATCAAATATGATACTAGTTTCTTACAATACTTTATTTATTGTTTATTCTAGGCCGAAACTCAAAAACATGGAGTTGAAGAATGGAATTCTCTAAAGAAAGTCAGGGTAAGTTATATTGTTGTTTATAAAAACAATTATTTGAATCCAAAATCTTAATTTTTTTTCTTAAAATCATCATGCAAGTTGAATTGGAGAGATTACTCCTCATCTGTGAAAGAATTATCAGACATGAGAAATTGAAGGTAAGCCACATATTTGTTTATAAAAACAATGGTAAATTCGGTAAAATACAGAGTACATTACTATTAATTTTATTCTTTTAATATACATTCAGGTTCCAGCCAAGATTTTGCAGGATGCAGCTCATGGAAAGAATTACAAATCAGATCAGGTTGAAAATTTACAACTTACTTCAAACCTAATGTTTGTCAATTCAAAGAAATTACTAAATTTTGTTATTTTATAAAATTTAAAATTTTATGTTTTAGGATAGTGGGGCAAGGAGATTGTGTGATGCCATAGTGCTTGGAGGTTTGTAGCCAATATCATCTAAAAAAAATTCATTTTACATCAACACTGCTTCCTCTTTATTTCTTTTTTTATTTCTTTTTTGTGTTCTATTCTAACACAGGTAAGAAGATGGCAAAAGATGTGTATACCTCTGATGTCATGGAAGCATCTGACTGCATGCTTGGTTAGTGGTATATATATATATATATATATATATATATATATATATATATATATATATATATATATATATATATATATATATATATATAAACTAAAAAAGAGCTTTCTTTCCTTTTGCATTCTAGACTCATTTGACATAAACTGTTTCAGGAAAAATTGCATATGAAACTGCTTTCTGGGGCTATTTTTGAAGAGGGCATTTATGTCTTTTACACATACGAAAGATCGAGAGCCAGTCTAGATTGTCTTGCAACTTATTTTAAATTTTATTTAGATCAGATGAAAGTTGTTCTTGTTTCCTTTTTTAAGAAAATTCCAATCTTCTTGTTGCATTGTTTACTTATACAGGAAGAGATATATGTGGCAAGGGCACCTGGAAGATTGGATGTGGTTGGAGGAATTGTAGACTACTCCGGAAGCCTTGTTTTGCAGGTAAATTTTGTTCTTTTTTTTTTAAAATGAAACAGACTATATATATATATATATATATATATATATATATATATATATATATATATATATATATATATATATATATATATATATATATATATATATATAGGCTCATATGCTTTACGTATCATTTCTTTGGAAAATCAATTGGCAAAGATATTGGGAGGCACAAAACACCCTAACAACAGATAAACAAGAGGAGCTTTGCTCCCTTGGAGCACGTAAGTCTTCAGAACATGTTATTTCTTATTTCTTATTTCTTATTAATGCATTGGGTTTTTATAACATTTTCATATTTGGACATTGTACTTTGAAAAGCTATTATATATAGTATTGAAAATGGTTTTGTATTTGGATGACACTACTATAAATATAATTTAATAGACATTTTAAAGTACAAAGGAATATAAGTATGTTGACTGTGCACAAGCCCATTAAGGAACCCTGTGAACCCTAGAAATTGGAAGCTACTTGTTACTTGGTCTTTGTGAGTTTTCTTCCAACATAACACACATTCATTTTAGATGCATTTTTCTACCAAAAATGACCCTGTGATAATATATGCAGGGAACTAGGGAACCATAAACAAGCCTGGTATTAACCGAGCACTAAGGGCAGATCCGGAAGATGTGAGTCTTAGACATCCCTGTGCCTCGATTTATGTTGAGCCTGGAAACTATCACAAGGCTGCTGAATCATATGAGCAAATCTGGCAACTTTGTCCTAAAAATCTTGAACCATTGAAGACGGCAACAATGGTTTCGACTTTGTACATGTTTTGTGTTCTATAATAAATATTATGCAATATTAGCAATGTGTCACATTTACTTACTATTCGAATTAATGATTCTCTTTATTTGACATATTAATGCAATGAATTATCTTTATTGTTTATGTTATTTTATTTTGTATTATGAGACCTTTAATGTGTTATTTAATTTGAAAATTAGTAAATCTATAAAAAAAAAAAATATATAATTTTAAAAGCATTTAAAATTATGACACGCAAAAATGCGTGTCGTCTTCCTTTATGACAGGGGCTTCCTTGATACGCATTGCGTGTCATAAACACGCACATCGTAAGATTACGACACGCGAATGTGTGTCGTCTTCCTTTATGGTAAGACCTTCCCTGATACGCATTGCGTGTCGTAAACGCGCGTCGTAATTGTGTGTCGTAAATGAGCGTCGTAAATGCGTGTCGTTTGTAGACGACGCGCAAAAGAACGTCGTCTCTCTTTATGACAGGGCCTTCCTTGACGCGCATTTGCGCGTCGTCTGAGCCATTTACGACGCGCAATGAGCGTCGTAAAAGGCTGCTTTTCTAGTAGTGACCTCCTATGCCACCACCACCATCCAACAATCAATAGCCTCCTCATGATCCTAACATGCCACCACCATCTTATACTCAACAGTAAACTAAAGATAAACAATCACCTCCTGCAACCCTTTACGCTCCTGCTTCTACATCTCTTGTAGATTCTTCCTTAGATAATGTCAAAGGGGGTACAATTTAAAACATCAAGACTTTCATATTATTTTTGATAAGGTTGATGAGGCTTCAGAATCTCCTACTAATTTTGATGAAGAATGATTTTAGATCTTGACCTTTTTGATGATTCAGTTCATGCTTATACCATGCCACTTCCAATCTCTACCATTTTCCCAACTAGTTCTCAAGTTTAGGTGGAGTCTCAAACTCATGGGGGCAACATCTCAACAGTGACATTGAATCTGATGATGATTAACCGCTTTCAAGCAAAAGGAAGTCTTATGTTGCCTCAAGCTATTCTGCTCCCAAACAAAGGAAATCCCTTAAGCTTTATGATGTCAATAAAGAATGTTGTCCATCTAGTGAAGAAGCTAGGGCTTTTGTTGCTAAATACTACATAGTAACTCGTAATCAAGTCATCTATCAACACAATTCTACTAAAGTTGTTCTAGAAATTGTTGTTAAAAGAAGTTTGTCCTAGTATAAGATACCTCTTGAAAACTTTAATGATGAGGTTGACAAGAATAAGAGGGTTAATGAAATTCTCAACAAAATTTACCGCTCTATTTATGCCGATCTCTTCTTAAGAAGATTCTCTCTTGATACTATTGTAAAGTTTCGATGCACAAAACCTAAAGGGGAGAAGATTCTTACTCTACAACTAACTAGGAGAGATTCTATAGGAGAATGCCCTAAAAGGATTCTGATATCCAAGCTTGTTAAATATGGATACTCTCAGTGGCTAGACTTATAGGGAATCATTAAAAATCACAAGGGAATTCATGCATAAGAGTTAAAGCTTTCCATTGTCGTGATGATAAATAAGCCCAAAAATCGCAATTTGGTTACACTTTCAGACACAACTTCGACATAATCTACTTCATTTTCCTCATGGAAAAGAAATAAGTGCATGCATGTAAAGTTCTTATTTCCCTATGGAACTGTCTTCCTTAATAATTATCTACTAGTGGGAGTAGATCTTGTTCAGCATCATAAGAGAACCAGAGCATGGAATGTTATATATTAATGAGAAATACCACATGTGTTTTCAATGGTATGTTGATCTAGGAAAAGCTCCTACTAAACATTTATTTCATCTAATATTAGAGTGTATAGGAAAATCAGAAGCTTACAATTATCACCGGCTTGTTTCTTTCAAGCTGAATAACAGAAGAAAAGAACTTCTATGCGATGACTTCAACTAGATCAAGCGATAAATTTTAATTGAAGTTGATAAAATATGTATCCATGACATTCAACTTGATTATGTTTTTACATCAACAGATTAAGGAATATTTTAAGGTCAAGCCTTATAATTTGATGATTAAAACCTTCTGACACATTGATTGACTTTACACAACGCCGTCATTCGATGGCTCTTTCTTTCACAATAGCATGTAACTTGTTTAAGCTACAACTTTTAGGTCTGTTATCCTAGTGACAGGATCTTATTTTGTATAGTGTATATATCTCTTATATTTTGGTATATATCCTTTGTATTCAAATCCCTGATATGTAGGGATCTCATTCTAGAATAGTCTTTACCTTAATATATTTGTTACACTATGGTTGCATGTAAACGTATGTCGGTTTATGCATTCTCTCTTTATGAGAGTTATTAATAAAAATTGGTTTTTAATTATTATTGTTCTTTTATTCTTCATTGCTTGATATATATATATATATATATATATATATATATATATATATATATATATATATATATATATATATATATATATATGATACTTCACTTCTCTCCTGAACGCGGGAGCCTAGAAGAATGTAACCTTGTCATAAGAGACTACAGCCTAATCCATCGATTGACCACCCTGCAAAAGGATGAAATCGTCAAATCGATCATCATAATCGCTTCCTCCCAAGTCCTATGACTGAAACTAGTACTACCTCAAACAAGGTCCTTGTGACCTTGGCATCAACCAAATTGCACAGGTCTACACCATTCATACCCAATCTGGCATGGCCATTTATAAGCAAACAAGCACTAGATTCCTCCTTATCCAAAGCAACCATGATCGAATGATAAAAAGAGATGGATATTGTTACAACTAACCCTAATGATATACTACACTATACACCATCAACCAACTACATAGTATCCTTTTAACTTTTCCTAATCCTCATACGGATCATGTGCTTCAGGTAGTACTAGCCCATACTACCTTCTACACCTATTTGTAATTGTCCCAAGTATTATCTTAAAGTTCCCAAGTTGCTACATGCAACTGTTGCTAAACATTTTAAAAACATACATATGTGATCCATCGAGCACCCACCATAGATCTTCATATACTTTCCTTCTATGTTTCCTTGTTGGGAAGTAAAGTGGATAACTAGAAAACCAAAATCACACAAGACGTAGTATTTATGTGGTTTGTTCAAGCTGACCTATGCCCATAGGCAGGAAGGGATTATTCTTTATATCGAAGTTCTCAAATATATGTTACAAGTACAATTTTCATAGAGATTCACCTAACACTCTAGAATTATAGACACTTCAAATGAATTAGCATGCATCCCTATTTATACTTGAGGGGTCATACCTAAAACCCTAATGTACCAAGTCGATAGGCCCATAGGCCCATGATAAGTGTCAACCAATCACAATCTGACATGCAACATCTTTTGAAACATTCATCCATATCATACAAATAATGAGCATCAACAACACACATGATGGAGAATCATGAGCCACAGTGGCACAACATGATACACAGGTGGTGTATCATGAACAGTAATGGCGGTTCCTCTGTCATGGTGGTGCATCAAGATGTATTACTTAAGCATCTTCAACCTCTTGGCATCCTTGGATAATCTTGAGCATCATATACAACTTCATAGCATACGACTTATCAAGGTATACCTTAGCTTATCAAGGAACCAAGTGGCATATCCTTGCATCAAGATGGCACATCAAGCATGTTGATGGCGCATGTTGATCTAGGGATGGTGCATCCTCTTCCAAGTTGGAATATAATGTCACTTAGAGGGATATCCTATCACTTGGTCACGTATCAAGTCACTTGGTGGCATATCATGTCACTTGGTATCATATCAAGTCACTTGGTGGCATCTCAAGTCACTTCGTGGCATTTCCTATCACTTTAGCATATCCTGTCTATTCTCAGGAGATCCATTCCTTTTTTCGGGAGATTTAATCCCTTCTCAGATGATCCATTCCTTTGTTACATGCACCATGAATCTCAAGTGCTCCATTGAGTTCCAAGTTCTCCGTTAAACTTAAATGCTCCATGTGAATCCTCCAAATGCTCAAGTCACATTTAGGAATCTCAAACTTGACTTGAGCATCCTTTAAACTCCACCTTAAACAAGAACTTCCTATCCCTTCCTACCATTCATCCCTGAAGGGGCCAAACTCTTACGAACATCAACTAACTCCAAGCAACGCTTGAACTTCTCTGTGGGCAATGAATTTATCAATATATATGTTGGATTCACCTTGGTATAAATCTTCAGTATCAAGAACCTAACAATTTCCAAAATCTCACGAATAGAATTCAATCTATCATCAACGTACTTCGTCTTCTCATGATATATAGGATTATTTACAAGATTCAATTCACTCAGACTATCACAGTACACTACAAGCTTCTCCACCTTTAGACCAAGATTCTAAATAAGCTTGTACAACCATATCTCCTCCTTTATCCTTCCTTCATAGACATGTACTCGGATTCAATTTTAGACAAAGAAATAATATCTTGTAAGGTTGACCTCCAACTCATGCCACATCCGAAAAAAGTGAAAATACAACATATTTGTGGCCTACACTTCAACAAATCACCATCATGATCAGAGTCTGCATGTCCAACCAATTCACTTTTCGTAATAGCTCCATACACCAAGCAAACATCTATCGTTCCTATCAAGTATCACAAGATCCACTTAACTGCTTCCCAGTGATCCTTCCCGGGATTGCTCATAAACTTGGTTACCATACTAACTGAATGATCCGAATCAGGTCTAGTATAGACCGTTGCATACATAATACTTCAAACAACACTAGAGTGTAGAACCCTGCTCATGTACTTCCTTTCTTCATTAGTTGTGGGTATATTATATGGACTAAGTTTAAAGTGAGCCTCCATAGGAGATTCAACTAGTTTGGATTGATCGGAATTGAAATACCGCATATCTTTCTCAATGTACTTTTGTTGGGAAATACACAACCACTCTTCTTTTCTATCCCTTTGAATCTCCATCCTAAATATCGTCTTTTATGCTCCCAAATCCTTCATTTCAAACTCATTCTTCCGG